TTTGCACTGATGTTACACTTTTTGCACTGGTGTTACACTTGAACTGCACTGCTCTTAGCCAATCAGAATCGAGTAATTTTTTCATGTGTATTATTAATGTACTAACTGTCATTTTGCTTGCGAACGGCGATGAGCTGAACTTAATTCTGCTAAAGTTTGCTCGTTCTCTTTACTTTTTTTCCTCATCAGGCTTTTTGGCACTTCCCTAAATAAATATTGTCAGAAGAAAATAGTCCATAGTTTTACATTTCAGTTTGCAACTTTTTCTCCACAAAATGTAACCGGTCTGGATGCCGGTCTAGATGGGAAAATCTAGAACGTTTTCAATATCGATTTCGCCAATTAAATTCGTGAATTCGGTAGTTCCCAGTCCTTGTGAGACACAGCGGTATAATAATTTCTCGTGGAAACCGAACGTTCGAGGTTACTAAGTAGTGAATTAGTGATAGTAATTGGACCGAGTGGAGTACAATTCAGGGAGTAATCGCGCGAGTAATTTCAAAATCGGAGCGCGAGGCGTTAGTGTTATCAGCCTCAGCCTTCGGCTGATAACACTTACCTCGACCTTGATTATTCCGGATATCACAGAAACCCCATCCAATAATTGTTTAGAATTATACGTCACGAGGTCCAATTACTAATTAATCGTATGTATAACAAATTTCGGAATTAAAAATGTCTTTTGAGAACTTTTTTTGAGCGAAAACGTCTGTAGCGCTTTTCATAAGTTTTGAAAACTGTAGGAAACAGTGCGAAGAGCGCGCAAATTGACGTGCGAATCACGTGGGTATCCAATTACGAAAAGTTCAAATTCAATACCTGTAATTGGACACCCACGTGATCGCGCGCCGATTACGTGTCAAATAGACGCGCGGAGAACCAATCACGATCCAGATTTTTGTTACAGATACGATTATAATTATGGCTTTTTTTCTTTTTTTCGTAGGTCCGTAATCGGTCCGCGGGCATTACGGGAGAATAATGCCCTAGAATTAGACAACCATAGCGCGCGTTATATCTGCTGCAAACACAAGCCATATAATAACGACCAATGACACATAACGTTAATAAGTAACAACTCTTAATATGGATTTTATTGATGTGAAGCGTATTTTTGAAAATAACTTAATTGATTTTACAAAGTTGAACATTTTAAAATAGCTTATAGGTAAATTTTCACTGTACACTAAGGCTGCCGAGGTACACCACAGGCAACCCAAACGCACGTCAACAGAGTTAATGACGTAAGAATACGGTTGAACGCGTGTTTAATATTTTTTATAAGAGTTTGTAGCGGAATTGTTACCTATAAAGAGTGCCGTAAAATTAAGCTTAAAAATGAGGAGATCAACAGAAACTCTACGTTTATCATTGTCTGAAGGCAATTCCATGCCTCGGGCTTTGTAGTGGTATTTTGGGCGGTTTTCCTCGCCTAAAACAACACTACAAACCCGCAAAATACAACATGCGACAAGAAGTGAGGAAAGTAAAGTTATTTTATTGACTTTCTCAGTTCAAAGCAAAATTCAACTCTCGATCAACCGTAGTCTTACGCAGCTAACTCTCACGACGTGCGTTTGGGCTGCCTGTACTTGAAGCATGCGTTCTTTCATTTCCTTTCCACAGGTTCTCTAGTTTCCCCAGTCTAGTGCTTTGACAAATTCTTCCTCTGAAAACTGAAGAAGCTTGGCTGCCTCAATATGCATCTGCCAGAGAATACACAAAACTTTCTTTATTCAAAAACACGAGCAACGACAACAACAACAACAACAACAACGGCTAGCGTTACTGTTACTGCTACTGTTGCTACTGCTAGCAGCATAGCTACTACCAGCAGCATAGCCCGCGAGCAGGCTCACGTTAGATCCGCGGGATCGCTTTGCTCTTCGCCGCTAGCGCGTGTGACTCAAACGTGAGCAGCACCACACACCAGATACCTCTCATGAGCAACTGAATAAGTAGAAAGCCAGAAGAGTCATGGATGCGTGCGAGGGTGATTGATAAACTAAAGGACCACATGCTGAAGAGAGAGGAAATAAGAGCAGAGACTCAACCTACTTTTTGTCGTTTTAGGACATCGATGAGCTTCATTTGTTTCTTAAAACCCGCCATCAATTCGTTTTTCTGTTTCTCCAGTCGCTTATTTTCAGCCAACAGTTGGTCAATGCGTTTTCTATCCTGTTCACCAGAGTCCTGCGTTTAAGGAAAACAATCTTGTTATTCACAGCTTTTTAGCTCCAGTGATTTGCCGAAAGTGAGGGAAGGACAGACTGACAATTATTGGTTAGTAGACTAACTCACAGATGGACTGAGAGACTGCACAGTAAAGTGAGAGACAATCAGACAGGCTGAAAGACAGACAGATAGACAGACAGACAGACAGACAGACAGGCAGGCCAGACAAGACAGACAGGCAGGCAGACACAAGGAGGGTGGGTGGGGAGGCAAGCAGACAGACAGATGTTACAGATATCCCAATGCAACACAAGTTCTTAAAGTTGACTCACTTTCGACTGACTCTTGGCTTTCTGTAAAGCGGTCTTGTACTTTTCCGCTTCTTCAAGAGCCCGATTTAACCTGTAATACAATATAACCTCACTGTTATCGGGAATCCGTCGGAACTGCATGATCTTTTCTATTTGATATCCAACTCCAAATCAAACTAAATGAGAAGATTTTGTGAATGCACTTAACCTGACTTCAGTGACATTTTTGTTTGAAGAAGCTTGTTTCTGTTCTCTCTGGATTGAGTCTAGATCCTACAATACGAGACATTAAAATAATATGATCAAGGAAAACAGTGACTATAAAAAACAGTTACAAATTATTATGCACAATCAATAATTTTTAATCATCTGACTAATTTAGAAAGGCCTTCTTTCAGTTTGTAAAGGCCTGGCAAGTGGCTTCAACCATTTCCTAGAGTACGTGCCAAATCTCCCATTTAAAAATTGCAAACAAAATATATGACAAGCTCAATTATAGAGAGGACTTCAACAAACGAACACAAAATAGTTGTGCAGGAGGGCATATCTTTTTTGGTCACAATACTCTAAGCTGTGACAGGACACTGGCTTGATTGACTTGGTTACTTGGTTAGCAATCACTTACTCCTACCTTTCTCAAAGAGACCAGCTGTTGTTCCAATCCATCATTTTTGTGTTTGCACTCATCATACAACTTCTTGTACTTGTCAATCTGTGACTACAATAAAAAATACCACCCTTTATTGCTCAGCAGTGGCCAGTTAATTGTTAATTTTATTAGGTTCTGAAGACAAATTCCATAGGGTAGGTTACGAGAACGAGAAGCTTGATTGGTCCAGGAAAGAAAGTCCGACTAAACCATACGACCAATGATGGTAAGAGTTTCATCCATCTGACATTGCTAGGTTGTGTAGCAACATGCCGAGTCAAACTAGTTACACGACATGTTACCCTACAATCATTAGACAGCAGGCATCTTAAGATGAGCAGGAATGCCACCAACTACAAGCATGCTGAAATCTCAGAAGTGGGTGTGTGAGGTGGTGGCAATAGCCATGAAATGGCCAGGCTAGAAGACCTGGGTTTGGGCCAGGCTAGAAGACCAAGGTGCCAGGAAGACCTGGCACCTTGCCTGGGCTCTAGTATGAGACTGTGTGGTACGAAAAGACGAGGTAATGATGGTGGTGATGGTGGTGATGATGATGATGATGATGATGATAATGAAGATGATGACACTGACAATGACATAGCAGTGATGGTCATAATGAGTATGATGACGATAGTGATTTACAGCGTTGTGTATGAACTACGCTAATCTCAAAATGAGAAACAAATGTGAAACAACAAGTAGAGATTAAAAGTTTGATGAAGTGAAAACCTGTAGTCCCTGATTTGTTTTTTGTAACCTGCCCTGTTCATCTGTCAGTTCCTTCACTTTCTTTTCAACTGATGTTGTTTTTTCATCCTGCAAGAGCCATAGATCAATAGAACCCATCAAAAATTAAAATTTGTAGAAGACTTGAAAAGTCTTAATTTAACACTGTTTTAAAATCAAAACAACATTTTCACATGACGTCACAGTAGCCATATTGGTGTTCCAACACAATGAAAGGCCGGCCATATTAGTGTACCAAAAACTCTTTTCTTACGTAAAAACTTTCTTTTGTTTCAATAAATTTGCATCTGCACTGGCCATGAGAATGAAAACACTCTATAGTATTTACGGATTGCTTTAATTCAATTTTTTGAAGAGATATTAAACTAGAAGTCTTGATATAACATTATCAAAGGCAACCATTAAGTGTAAACTCTGCTGCCACTGACTTAATCTGTTGTCAACAACTGTTCTCTTTTTTTAGTAGTGCAATATTTTGCTTTCAACTTGTAACACATTTTACTTACATTTTATTGAAAACATGCTGTATGAATTAACCGTTATTCAATTTATCTCATATTATTTCACTATTTTTCGGAGAAATCAAATTTAAAGTAAAAATGTACGGTTTTACACAGAGCAGAAAATGTATCCCAAGCATAAAATAAAGAAAGTCACAATCATTATCACCTTTTTATTACATTCTGCTACAACTCTATCCAGTTCTTCTTGCATAACCCTCAATTTTGCCTTAAGAAAACGGATTGTAGCCTCTAAAAACAGAACAAAGACTCTGAGATTTTTAGAATATATCATATGTGCAATTGGCTAGCTCTGCAATCAGGCAAGATAAACCAAATCCTTTGTTGTAGCTAAGCAGGTACATTCAGAAAGGCTTTATTGCCTGCTTGGGATTGTGCCTGCTGTGTCCAGCAGAAAAAAAAAAACAAAACTGGCATTCTCTGTTCTCTATTCATCAAGCTTGTTATTCAAGATGGCTGGATATTGGTCTAATTCTCTTTGTTTGTTTTGTTTACAAGTTTGTTTTGGACATGATTATGGACTGGAACTGCATGCTAGCCCATAAAAACACACACAACAAAACAACTTGGCAAATATTGAACCACTTGATCAATAACCCAAAGACAACACCAGTACCTCATAATTACAATGTTGTACCTGTAAGAGCCAATTACGATTTCTTTATATCCGGTCTGGTGCTATAATTATACCTCAAAACAATAGCATTGTCCGACTCCTATAATTTTTTCCTTTAATAGATAGTACTACTAACTATGGTCCCTCTCAGTATTGAGTTGAGGGCTGCATTAAGTTACTAAACACCTCTTTTTTTTTAATCCTAAAGCTAAGCAACAACTCTTTTAATAACCAACTTGTTTGGTACCATACTACAAGAATATTTTTAATTACTCTTTGTCTTTTCTGTGCAAACCTGACAATTAAACTATGCAAACTGTCACAACCAATAGCCACTATTCTCCAAGCATAGACTCCGCCCTAGTTAGTGACCAAAGATAGATTGTTAACATACCTGCTCCCATCTCCTCAGCACCAACAGGTAAAACATTGTCATCAATTGTTGTTGTTGTGTAAATGTCATCCTGGGCATCATCTTCCAGAGTGCTGATTGTATTTGCCAGAGTGATCCTATCATGGAGCATCTCCATGGGACTATCAGTGAGAACAGGAGTATGTGTTGCACTTCCTGGGGCTGACACTGTTTTAGATTTAGGCCTGGAATGAAACAGAGTCTAAATTGTTCTTTAGAATGAAAATTAGCGATATGAAAAGTGAACAATGTTTTGAAGACTCCTTGTTATCATTATGAAGTTCGAAATACATGACAGAATTGAATAAATATAAATAGTAAAAATGGTGTGAAAATATTTATACTTTAATACTTAGACACCCTTTTAATTCCCTAAATATTTTCACACCATTTTTACTATTTATATTTATTCAATTCTATCATGTGTTTCAAACTTGATAATGATGACGAAGAGTCATCAAAACACCGTTCACTTTTCATATTGTTAATTTTCATTCTAAAGTGCTTTATGAAACCTTTTATTACCAGAAGTTTAAATTGTTCCAGAAAATATCCATATAATATTCATTGATACTCCCACAGAAGATTTTCTTGTTTTGCATCCCCCTCCCTATTGCTAACCATCTGGTATCCTTTTTTTTTTTTTGCTTGATACCTTCTTTCAAAATAACAATAACTTTTATTAGTTGGGGTGGGTATGGAGTCACACAATGAAAGAACTAAGAAGTGATACATGACTTTTTGTATATATCTGGGTTGCTTGTTAGTCATTTCAAAAACACAGCTCCTTTTTAAGTGAAATGCTTCTGCAATCAGCCATACGTTTTAACTCTTAGACTAACTAATACAAGTTGGCAGTTTCCACCTTGTCTTCTTTGTTCTTGAAGCAGGTCTTGTTCCCTGTTTGCTAGCTGAGGCACTCAGAGGTCTACTGTGTGCTGCATTCACACCAACTCCTCCAGGTCTCTGAAACATAAATTTCCAAGAATTGGTTCATATGTTAAGCGTAGGTCTTTTGTTTTATGAACAGGGCTGTCAGCAAGGGCCATAACCCATAAAAGTAAAACAAAATGGGAGTATTATAGGCCATTTGCAAGTTACCCCGTGCCTCTGTTTCAAAACGAGTCTTCGTGCAAAACCTTTCATATGAAAACGAGTTTGATTTGCATGAAAATGATCATGTACTAGTAGGCAGAACACATTTCCATATGAATGGTTTCCACTGAAGACTCGTTTTAATACAGAGGCAAAAGACAATTCAGAAGTGGCCTATTATCATTGGTGGCTCCAGGGCATGGCTATTTATCCACTATTGCCAGATTCAGTGCTTTGTGGACAAGAAAAGCCAGGAAGAGCTTTTCAATAAAAAACTCAACTGAATGAGGGATTTTTCATACATCAAGGGAAAACATTGAATGCTGACTTAGCTATAACATGTGTACTGCATGCTATTTTATTGAGCATGAAGAGACAGATCTCTCAGATTTAGCGACCATGTCATAAACATTGCACAAAGAAAGTACTGCACCTTAGCCAATTTACAGAAGCACTGTAGAAGATGATTGTTTTGGAGCTAGGAAAAATGATTTTTGGGCTTCGTACATTTAGCTACAGCTTTCCCAAAGGCGAAGCCTGAAAAATGGTTTTCTTTTCACTCTACATACAATATATGTAGTTTCCTGCATGAATCTAAAAGGAAATAAATTCTCAATGACGTCTCAAAGAACAGTGACATAATTTATATAAGACCTGCTTGGCAGTTCCTGAAGATGGCTTGGCAGTTGAAATATCCATTGATGGCAGTAAATCACTAAAAAAGGCCAAACATGCTCACAGTTAATTAAACCAACAGTGTGTGTAAAATTACTAATTGAAGGCTTTCGTGCTAAAAGGGCGTATGTAGCATTTGGGTCAATATTTATTTTTTGCAGGATAAAGCTAATTTTTGGCAGACGGACTTGTTTTGACATGAAAAGCATCATTGCATAATTGTTTTTGTTGATTTGTGCTTTGTTTTCAAGAAATATCTTAATATGCAAAAAACTCAGTTTTCCAAGGGTATCTTTTGGAGATTTTTTGTTGAGTGAAAAACAAAAGAAACCTTTGTTTTGCTAAACGATGAAGTCACCGAAGTGTGATATTTGCCGCTAGTCTTATTATTTATATAATTACGCAATTCTCTTACTGTTGCTTTGTTAGCACAAGCGGATAAGGTGCTGAACGGTTCGCATCCAAGTTTGTTTAGTCGTGACACCGGTTCGATACAAGGTTGGTCGATTTTTTTCCGGTCTATTTCTCTACTTCTTTCAAAAATCAAAACATCTATTTAAAAATAAATTGTGCTGTCGAAGCTGCTAAACATAACCGTTTAAGTTCGCGCTGCGTCAAAATCCACCTTCGAAGGATTCGCTCCAAAAGATGCCACTCGGAAAACTGAGTTTTTTTGCATACGTTATTTCTTGAAAACGAAGCGTAAATCAACAAAAACAATTATGCAACAATGCTTTTCAATTCAAAACAAGTCAGTCTGCCAAAAATTAGCTCAATCCTACAAAAAATAAAAATCAACCCAAAATACTCCATACGCCCTTTTTGCACGACAGCCTTCAATTGAGAAATGGCTATCAGTATTAAATTTATTAAACTAATTGTTTGAAAATTAAATGATTGAAATTTATACAAAAATTATATTGAACTATTTACTGCTACGGCCATGTACCCTCAAAGAATTTAAGAAAACAAAAGTTTTTCTATTCAGGTCACATGTTGCTCCATGGTCCATATAAACTCATGCTTTGTAAGCCATGACTAATTACTAATTTAAAAATATAAAATTAGAGAGCAGTTTTCACTTGAGTGTCGAAAAGTTCTTGATTCATTTGTCATCACTTCACCAAGCGATTGGCTCAAAAACTCGCACCTCTTTTTCATCTAATTAAAAGTAACACAAAAACCAATATTTATGCCTTGCTTGCTCGGGTTTTCCCACTCTTTGCCTAAGTTACATGTATTTACTTCGAGTTTTGATTAGTTCATTGGATTAGTAATAATTCATTCCTCAATACAGTGACAAAGAATGTTCACACACACGAGAACAGTAAATTACACTGTACATAGAGTGTGTTCACGTGATGTCATCAAATTCTCAAATCCAAAACTAAAGAGCCCCTAAAGGTTTTAACCTCATCAGGCATAAGAGGTACTAAATTAATATCTGTTTACAACTTTCCAACTCAATAGCATCCTTCATTCGGAAACCAGCGCATTTTGAATTTTGGAGCTAAGGCGGTGCGTGACATGAAGCTAAGATCATGTTTGTCGAAAAATATACACTTATCTCATGATTTTTAGCCATTTTAGGAGTTAGGATTAGGAATTATTAAGAAAAGTACGAGTATTTATTTAGGAAAAGTGCTTGTGTGTATGTTTTTTGGTTCGGTTCAGATAATCGGTTGTCTAGATAGCCAAAGTAGGTTCCAGATGTTTAAACTATTTTCTGGCCACCATATTGGATGACTAAGGAGGTCCTCCAACATGGTGGCTCCATACTAGGCTCTATAATTTTGCATGGAACATTTTGACAAATGTCTCAACTTTGGGACAACGCACACACCTTAAACTTGGAGAACTGTCTTCTTTATTTATCCTCTATAATATCACGATTTCTTGACTTTATCCGTTGAATGGTGCTTGCTTTTATTTTTGTATTGCGTGACAATGCACACACTCTATTTACTGTCAGTGATAACAGTAAAACTATAATCTTGCACAGAATGCAAAGGGAAATGAAACTCGCCCTCTCACTGAAACAACGATGAATTTGTGTTCAAACCAAAATGTGCCATTTTTCCATCAAATTTTTATGAAATGAGGAGAGGGTTGAACAGTGGTCTTAATTTTCATAATTACAAATTGTCCAAAATTGAACAAAGTAGATATTTTGCAGAAGTTCTAAGATCAGGTAATATTAAATCAGCATCAATACCACTACCACTTGTCTCATACAATATAAATGTTCAGTGGATACAATACAGCATCACTTGTACAGCAATATCATGATAAGACTTGCAGGGCCAGAGTGTACTACGTACAATTAACATTTTACACTGGGAATCATAAACTACATGTTTTCAGTCTACTATGGTCAGTTTAATAAATTAAGTTAAACATGAAAGGTTCACAAATAACCCAGTCACAAAAATTAATAAGCATCAAAAGCACAAGAATTCAGATAGACCACGAGTAGTTGGTTTTGTTCCTGAAATCCTCTGCATGCAGAACTTAGTTATAATGCCACTCGCCGCTTGTCGATTCAGGAATGCATGCTAGAAACTTAACTTCTGGCACACTAGGAAAAGAAAGAGACTGCTCGCAGTCTATAATTCAGAGAAACATTAAACTTTACAAAACCACAGACCAGGACCACTACATACTTTTGTTTTCAGGAAAACAATAACGAGAAAAAAATGTAAAGGTTTACGTGTCAACACTTACTCTAAGTCTTGTGATAATTCCACTTCAGATGCTGCAGGTCTTGCGAGAAGCTCTTCCTGATCTTGCTGGAATGTAAAAAAATGTATAATTAACATACTGATTGTAGCAAGAATTGTGGATTTACATTGCACCTGTGACAGAAAATGTGCATTCAGTCTCATTATTTCTTTGTACATATTTTGCCATGGTTATAATGGACTTCAATGCCACCAACTTTTGGCTTTTGCATGGCTTATACATATATTGTACATGCACATGCGGGAGGCATGGTGGCTGTATAGCGTTACAGAATTTAGTCTGGATTGAAAAGGACTTAGATAGGGTAGGGCCTACAATGAACAACAAAAGTATTGAGACACTCCAGAGTAAATTCTATTTTTGAAGCGTCCCCACCCCTTCCCCATGAAACAATGTCAATTTTCCTATGTGTATTTCCAAGACTGCGCTGTTCACACCCCAGTACCTACACAACATTGAACTGAGGAGGCAGGGAATATCATAAAATTAACACTAGATGCAAAATAATGAAACAGAATAGGAGGTTAAATATCAAAAGCATCATTTTCTAAAAGTGTTTCAATTACATTTACTTTTGTTTTCTATTGTCGATACCCCTGTGCCCGTGTACATGTATTCTCTGATTAATACATCTTCAATAGGTACACTGTATTAGCAAAGTGGCAAAATATGACTTTAAGGCATGTGACATGTTCAGTAACAGGTATGTACATTTTTTTGACTTCACTGCACATGCCCACTGCACAGCAAGTCATAGATTGACATAAACATTTAGTTAATGTACCATCACTTCTTCAGCTTCTTTAATCAGACTTGCAGTTCTTTCCTCCAGCTCTGCATTAAGACGCCTGGGAAAACAAAGTTGAAAGAAATATAAGTCAAGACATCAAGGGAGAGCTGGATAAGCTCTCCACAATGTCTTCAGGTTTGTTATATCATCTGCAAACTTCATTTCAATCCACAAGCGTTATTTTAATATGCAAACGTCCATCTTTCATTACTTAACCTGTTCTTAAAGTGTTTTCAACAAGTGTAGAGAAAATTAGTAGATATAATTCATAGAACATTTCCTTTCAACATTGGAGTTTCAAGAAAGAGAACCTTAAAGTTTTTGAGTGCAGCACACCAAAACACAATTATTCCTTTGATAATTTAAACCCATTTTCAGATGGATTCAGAGGGGTCTTAGGTCTTAGTTTTTGAGATTCAGAGGGGGTCTTAGGTTAGGGTTAGGGAGATTTGGTGGGGGTCTTAGTCTTGGATCTTAGTTTTTGAGACACCCCTCAACTTACAGCCATCCTCTCACTTGTTCATCAAGACTGACAAGGTTTCAACAAATTTTCCTTTTTCATTAAGTAAAAATATTGTTGAGATCACAGTGACTCCAAATGTTTCTTCCAGCATTCAACAGTATTAACACAGCAGTGTTAAATTATATTTATTTTCCCTAGCGTTTCTTCAACATGTCTATTTTTCCTGACTCAAAATAAAATTCTTTGACTTTTCCCTGACCTTGAAGAAATATTTCTTTTTTCCCTGACCATTTCCTGACCTGTGGCAACCCTGTCACCTTTTCAAAATGGGCCATTCCATTTAACATCTGCAACCCCCCTATTGAGGTGCTTCACATTTTACCCCCTCAGAAAAGTGTACTTTCTGCCCCCCAAGAAAGGAACACCCATGTGCCAACATACTACCCCCTACCGAGTTTTTAAAGATTAAGGGTGCCCACACAATTACCCCTTCAAAGACGACCTTCAAAGAACCCCCCCGCCCAACCACTTCCCCTCGGATTGGTGTCCCGATAAAAAAAAATGGAATGGCCAAATGGGAACACAGAAGCCCATGCATTTGCCTGTTTTGCCTTCCCAAGCCCTAAAAATGGTTGTACGATTTTGTTGTAACTAACATGTATTCTTCTTCCTTGTTTAGAAGACCTTGGGCGATGTTCTTCGTTTTTCCGGAGGGCGGCTTTTCCATAGCTGTGGATTTGTGCAAGGTGCCAGCAGATTTTCGACCACCATTTGTAGCAGCTGAAGAAGGCCGTTTAGCGGCCGAACTTGGACGCGAAGACTGCAACAAATCGCATCAAAAGAATTGAGGTGCCTTGCTATCAAGAAAGAAACGATCTTGCCCAAATATCCAGAAAACCCAGCTCACCATAACGTTGTTGACTTGCAATGAATCACAGCCCAAACGTTCAAACTTATTTTTCTTTGCAACCAAGCCTGGAACTATATACTAAGGGGAGGTGAGAGGGGAAGAGCTTAAAAAAGATGCAAGATACATGTAGCTTCCGCGATTGATGTGTACTCTTTTTGTATTAATTTTACCTCTATTTCTTTTGGTTTTCCTTTTTCCTGTAGTGACATTCTATATTCTGTCTTCTTGACTCTAGCCCCAGTTTCGGCAACATTGATGTTGAATGAAACCGACCACCCTCCCCAGCCGGGGGGGCGGGGGGAGGGAAATACTCCCTTACATTATAGGTATGTGCGGCCCCAAAGGGTATGGTTTTTCAGCTGTTTTAGTCATAAATAGGATTCTAATCTTGAAATGGGAATTGTCTTTTTTTTTTTTTTTCAAAGAAACTACTTTTTCATCATTATCTGAACTAGGTGACTAATTGTAATAATACTTTTGATGATAATGGCATCATCGTTGAGAAGTTTTCATGGGCAGTAGCTTAGTACATTGGACTGGCCTTGGGATCAGAAAAGTGCAATCTAACTTGGGTGAAAATTTCAACTGAGGGCACTCCAAGCCAAATTTGACGACAGAGGTGAAGTTGCTGGTCCCAGTTTAAAAAGATCAACAAGAGTCGAACTATGCGTTTGGTTCGACTCATGTCAGGGGTCATGTCAAGATCGGCGTGGTATGAAAGAAGAACTTTTCTACTGTGACCAAATCAACTTCAGTGAACCTGTACTTAACCAGGAACACCAGAAAAGCAGCGTATCGCTAACCACTAACTGTTAACGTCTTCCAGCTGAAAAATTAGCTGCTATCTGTCGAAAATTATACTGAAATCCAACCGTAAACACGTACCTGCAGATGGCGTAGTGCGTGCGCAAATGTGAGATACGAGATAAGCGAATGTTTTGCTTACTGGGGAGGTGACAGGAAAAATGTGATGGGCACCGTCAAAGTTTTTGAAAAACATCAATAACTTTGAAAAACGCGTGGTTACCCATACATTTTATGTTATAAAATGGAAGTGGCAAGCCTATTCAACACGTGATTAGTTTCTGGTTGTGAGCAAAAGGTATTTAGACTGTATTTTGGCTGAAC